CTAAATAGAGTTTACAAAGAAAGACAACCTCAGAGAGCGTAACTGAACTGACAATAACTAGATTCCAGCTTGTGCATTTTCAGCAAGCTCTCTGCAAGAAGCTTTAACCTGTCTCCAAAAGGCAATAAATGAAAGGTTCAGCTCTTAAAATTGGAGGTCAGTTACATACTTAATGATGAAGCATATCTTTAAATCTATTTCTACTATTATTATCCTAGCAAAAAATTAATTAACCAGGTCAGGGAGGCTATGAAGGCTAATGTGGAATGTAATTATTCCTGATCTTTAGACACGTACTTCACATAAAGAGATAGTCCTTATTCAGCTCACCAGGTACCTCAATTGTCAGTAGTTAATCATAGATAAGAAGAGACACTCATTGGCTCAGTCTCTAAAGTTTTACTTATGATTCAAATGATTCCTATTCAACGACAGTTTAAATAGTTATAATTTTATGTTACTAATCTTTTGTCTGTTTACTATCACAGTAATCACGTTCACTCTCCTTGACTCAAACAGAAAACATAAGAACATTTATATGAAAGTAGAACAGCATGGATGTATAGATTAAAACTAGAAAAAATTACTATTAGGAATAATTTCTAGTGGTTGAATTAAAACAGAATACTTATGAGTACAGAGAAAACCAGTTTCACTATGCAAAGAAAATTGTACTGATTCAAACAGAAAACGAAATGCTTTGCAATGGCATTGAGCATAGTACAGAGGAATCAGGTATGGACAAAAGCAGCTTGGATCATCTGCCAAAGTAGTACTCATCACAAGTTTTTGCAGAAAAGCTCAACAACCACTGTCCCTTTTAAAGATTTCAGCCACAATCTAGGACTTGCCCTAATGAAACCTGCCCACCAGAGGAGGGAAGCCCTCAAAATTTGATCCCTTAACTCCACACACATCCCCATTCCCAGAGGGAAATCCTGGAGCGACACATTCCAAGCAAGAGTAGGATCCACCTCCCTTGCTCAGATGGGCATGGCAGGGCTCAGAAGAAGTCCCCAAGCCTCATTCTCTAAGGACTGAATTCTGATAATGAGGCACAGGGATTTCAGGCCCTCAAGAAATTTTTGGAACTATCCAAGAAATGCAAGTCTTCCCTTCCTCCAACGCAGTCATGATGTACCACCAAATTCCTCCTTTAACCAGCTTTTTCACTTATTCCTAGAGATTATTGCTTTCATTGCACAGGCTAAGAAGTGTTCTTGAAATAGTCTTGTCCCCTCTACTTTAGGAATGCATATTTTTTTATTTAAAAAAAAAGTTCTTTTAAAAAAATCTTAATCAACCTGGGGACTGATCTGTGAGCTCTCACTTGCCCCACAAGTTGCTTCTCAGCTTTAATTTGCACTGAAAGCAATGATTTCTCTGCACAGCTCTGCTCTGTGGAAGAAGAACTTAATTTGGCATACTAGATTTCCTTCCATCTCTGTGGACTCCTCTGTAGAAGAGTGTTTATGAACATTATGAACATTTGAGCTAAAAAGTAATAATACACTGCATTTATTTGAAAATTTTCATTTAAGATTCTCAAAACATTACACTTGAATTGAGGAAAAGGAAACAATTTGCAAAACTTCAGATAATCAGAGACAGGACTGAGAACAAGTCCAGATTCTCACTCCCTTTAGCCAACAGGCAAAACTGCTTTCCCCAACACATACATCCTGAAAGAAACATTAGCTTCATTTAGAAAACACAAGATGATTATGCAGAACATTTAATGACCTCTGTACTCTTAAATATCTAGGTTGTTCTCAGACACTAAGCCTAGCTAATGTCCTCTTTGCTCATAGATTGTTGACAAAGTTTTGGATGTATAACAAGTCTGGAGTAAAGTGCTCCAGTAAATGGTCTTAAAACTGAAATAAAACAAAACAAAAAAATTCTCCACTGATTAAAAGAATTAAGGTGTTAAAATATTAAATAAATAGATAATATATGGTACAATATAAATAATAAATACCAAATAATGAAAATTCTGAGTAAATTAAACCAGTAGTTGCCCAGGAAAATATGTGTTTTACTTAATATGGATTATTTTAACTTTTACATGTGCTTGACAAAAATCTTCTACGTTCCATCTAAAGTAATTTCTAATTGTTTAAATGGTTAAATGAACTGGATACACGTATTCACAGAGACTATTGTTTAAGAATGAACACTGTACCTCAGAAGATGACAGTGATACACTGTGTTCTCATGATGAAAACACTGCATCAGCAATGCCCCTCTCCTGGATTCTGGAGAACATACTGTTCTTGCTTCAAGTAGCTGTGCCATGAATAGGTCCATGCCCAGATGGAACTGGCACCTGTGTTACCCATATTCTGTAATCTCTTCAAAACAGGAGTGTCAGGGAACAACACTATTGTCTTCCCAAGCACAGAAAGTATGGATAAGAACCCACATCAGTCTATGAAGATAATCATTTTTTCTTGAAATAAGTTGCTTCAAGAGTGTCTTTAAACAAACCGTCTAAATAAAATGAAGTTACTGGGGACAGTTACAAATTCTACCAAGCCCAAAATCGAGACTAAGAATGTAAAAATATAATATAAATTTTTGTTTCCCCCTCAAGCCACAGAGTGTATGATTCACCTCATCTCTACACTAAAGGCATCAGCATGAGTATCCTTCATAGTTAATAGAGAGAAACAGCCATTTTAGGGAACAATTTATCTGGTATATTTTAAATATCTGCTATAGGACAAGACAAATTGCATCCTAAAACCTTTCACTTTCCTTCTCTTTGCTCACTATGAGCACAGTCTGGATGATTAACTGAGACAGAGTTTGTACTGCAGATACTTGTCCTTGATATGATGAACGCCACCCAGAGTCACCAGTGTGACTTCAGAATTGTTATTGAGGCTTCTTGGGAAGATGGTGGAAGGGGACCTGGGAAAACCAGCACAGCACTGCTTCTCTCACCTGCCTCCTGGTGAGAGAAGTACCTCCATCCCAGCTATAGCCCTCAAGGAACTACACAATCTCAAACTGCAACATTCATAACCAATTCTACATCAGCAAACATACGTTGCAGAGGCAGCTTAGCAACTAACTTCTCTCTCAAGCAGCTTCTAGTTACCAAATCCACCACAAAACTAAGAAAGAACAAATAAACAAAGCAGAACCACCTGGCTGACTAGCAAATGGGCTATGTAAGCTGGTGTTTAGCCTAGAAGAAAATCTCCTAAGAAACTTTCTTTTAGTAATTTCCCGGTTTGAGATGGAATCTGTCCAACATGTCTAGAGCTTCGTAGTAGACCCTACAGTGTTCCTTGGGCAATGAGATGCCCACTACCAATCTGGCCACACAGCTGGGAACAGAAACGGTCCTCACTGCCTCAAATACCCTGATTAGACTCATGTAACTATAAAGATCATAGACAAATAAAGAGGCCAAACTACTGAGAAGCTATGACATAAGAATACCTTATATTTGCAGGAAATTTGAAACAAATACAGGGAAGGACCACCAAGAAATAATTTTGCTCACACAAACAGAATAAACATTGAAACAGTTCTTCACGTATACATCTAGGAAGGGATGGGAAGGAAAACTTGTGGAGGCTTCAACACTGTGTAAGAGGAAAGTTGGAAGTGAATGAGAAAATGAACACATAAACTATTCTAAAATAAACTTGCAACCTATTCTAAGACTGCATTTCCCTGGAGACAGTGGAAGGGTAAAGCTACTGGAAAGTACTGACTGAACTGAAACATAAAGTACCTTTGAACTTTTTACTACAGAGCACATACTTCCCAGTAAAATATACCCACATTCTCCAAACAGAAACAAAAATTACCTGGTCATTATTCCTCTTTCGGGGTCCTAATTTTTAAAGGAATTTTAAAAATTAGAAATTTCTCATGAAAATAACTCTTCTGTTTTGTAGACTCAGTTAGGTTTCAGTCTCAGCTTTTATGCCAAGTAAAGATTTTTTTGACATTATTCTTTGTTTTCTGAGGCCAGATTTGCAAATAACACATAGAGTAGATGTTGTATTTTTTCCTTTCGCAATTCTTATGTCTCTTCCACCCTTGATGTACACCTAATATAAACAGTCTTCTAATAGGCAAAACCAATAAAGGTACTTTAAAGTTCAATTGTGTGTCTCATATGAGGTATTAACACACTTATTTTTGCTAAATAAACTCCTTAAAAATGTAACTGAAACTGCATTACAACATTTTCAAAAGCTTTTACAAGCATTCCTTTGGGATGAGGGAAAGAAAAATTTCAGTTTTGGCACCTAGTGACATAGCAATCAGCTAATTAAGGAAAAAAAATGGATAGCCCAAGCTTATAAGAAATGACTGGCAGCACAATCATCTGTCAGACCAAACTGAAATATTTAAATCAATGAACAGGTCCATGGAAATGCTTTCCAAGTAGGAAGCCGATAAGGTAATATAGTCACATGTCAACAATGCTTCTACATCCATGTCACTACCTACCCACATATACCTGCACAAAATAAAACCAGGTTCTGAGTACAAGTACAGATAATTAAATATCTCCAGAATATTTCCAGATCCAAGAGGGTGCAATTACTCCAAATTGCACATGGAAGACATATACCTGTGGGTCTTTGTACATAAGCAGACTGGTCCCAAGGACTTAGTACTGTTCTAATGTCTCACTTTTGCCTTTGTAGAACAAGGAATTCCATAAACAATGGTTGAGATTCTGCTTCTACTTCACACAATACAAGTCAAACTGATTGCAGATTTCAGAATTATGACCAGATGATGAGATTTAAAAATAGTTCATAACTTTCAGAAGAAAACTCTGCCTATTAAAGATCTTTGCACCAAAAAGATGTTTGACAATAATTTTCTAAGACATGAAGAGCTCCCATAAAGAGCATCTTTACTGAGGTTTGTTAATAAAGCATGTGGCTGCTTTATTTTAGACCCTTCCCTCTCCATAAATGGAATTTAAGTATAATCAGAAGAGAGCAATAAAATACACTGACCTGAATTTGCTGCTGCAGTAGATTGATTTTGTGCTGCTGTTGCAGAAGTTGCTGCTGTTGTCTTGCAATCTATTAGAAATAAAATTTCCATAAAATTAAAACAGCAATATTGAAACTTCAATACTATTGAGCAAAAAACATCATATTTGTTATTCTTTATTATATTTTATTAAGCATATAATTTTTTCTTAGATGAGGGATATTTTAGAGAGAAATTTAAATTCAACATAAAAATCTAGTTAGCCAGTAAGAAATATGTATTTTAAGCACTGAGGCCTTAACTCTGCAAAGCACAGAAAAACAGGTTTATTTATGTGCCTGTGAATAATTTCCTCACTATTCAACAAAGCATATAAGCCTGTGGTGATCTTTGACTATGATGCATTACTGTTAGCTACAATGGGAATGAAACACGTGCTTAAAATTAGGTGCTTTTCTGAATGGGGATGGGATTACGCAGGTGCTTAAGGTTAAACATACATTTTCCTGCTTTGCTGAACTGAAGTCTTAGCTAGTATTTATAAATGTTTCATATTCAGCACAAGCTCCTAGGGTAAGCTTCTCCATTCACTATGAGCAGTACATTACTTCACTTGTAAATCTCCAAAATCATCCTTGGAACTGCTTAGGGAAGCAGAGCCTTATTCTGTGTGAAAGCAGTACATGGTGCTCAGTAACTCATCCTCAACATAATCCTATGAAATATGTAGATATTGTTACCCTCATTTGGGAGATTCCCCCCTGTTCAGGGCGGGGAACACTAAGAGACTGGTGACAGAGAATTTGCCACAGAGACCACTTCTACCTCCCTGATTCCCACAAATCATTCAGAATGATCATGCTAAAGCAGAAGGGAAATAGGATCCTGCCCTCAGACCACAGAGCTGCTCCCTGCAGTGGGTGATGTGGACGGCAGACACAAGGGAGGAGCCACAGGGAGCTGGGGGAACAACTGGAACTTCTGATTTAGAAGGGTAACTGTGCAGCAGACTGAAATGAGGACAAGATTTGTGTTTCCTGGAAATCCCAGCCTCAGCACTTCTGCTACCTTCCTTTCTTGAGTATAATTTCCCCTCCTATAAATATTTATCTAGAGCAGAGGAATCATGTAAAACACCAAGAAGTTGGTGACAAAAGTCATTTGGTCACTCAAATCCACTGTTTTGGTTTTTGCAAAATCCCTCCCTGTCTCCTTCTCCAATATCTTCTGAGTACACTTACTCTGTTATAAACAGAGAAAGCTAAGTAAAATGTTTTTATGATAAAAAAATTAGAGAAATGTAGCAAAGTTGGTTTGGAAATAAACAATCACATAGTTTTAGTGAAAACTGTTCAGATTAACTCATAAGGAATTTGCAGTCACATATTAACAGCTTGTAATTGTGCACGCAGAGAGACCAAGGCTGTCACTTCCTTAGTCTCATTCTATCACCTGGAAATAGCTGTAATATTTTTCACTTATATTCACTTTAGCTGTATTTTTTTTTCAGTTAAAAATCACTTTTGTATAAGAAACCAACACAAAATTCGTACATATTTAAAGTCTTTCACATGGCCTCAAGGAGACAAATTAAGGTCTACATGATTCTGGGGCTGGATCACGGCAAAGTGCTGCACAAAAAGTCAAGCAACTCTCAAAGGCCACTACACTGATGCTTATAACAGGGCTTAAACTCCTTTTAGAAGCCTGGTGTTCAAATATTTCTGGATGAACCTCCCAGCCAAGCAAATAATATATGGTGAGTGATGACTGAAGGAGCGGAATCTTGTGTGCAAGTGAGAAAGGTAATTCAAACAGAGCTAGCAGTCCACGGCCCCGGGTAGCCCAGGGGCAGGTCCTAGGACCTCAGGTATATGTCGTCAGTACCCTGGTCAGCAGTAGTCTCTCTGCTTGGTAAAACAACAATGGTAACAGTGCTGTATAGAATATTTAAAACGTGTGTGAGAGCTGGAGTTACTATTTTTAATGAGTAACACACCAATTGTGTGATTCCATATTAGAAGTGTAGTGTTTATAACTAAAGATAAGGTCTCAGATTTACGTCCACATTGCCCCTGCTGCTAAAATCTCAGAGAAGGCAAAAGGTGATCACAATGTGCAGTTTCAGTAAAGAGTTACTTGTCATTTCACATTGAAATCAGACAGAGCATGGAGCTACATCACAGGCCATTGCCTCTTAGTGCTGTGTTGCTTTTTCACAGGTACACAGTACCCTATGTCCAGAATCGTCTGGAACTGCTGGCAACCTGGCTGCAGCTTAACGTGGTAAGCTATAGCCAAGGCAAGGAGGAGATATTGGTTTACATGTGCAAAGGCACTGATCTGCTGGAGTTCTGACTCCTTGGGAGCAGCTTTTTGTACCTGTATGTACAATGTAGCACCGTTTGAATGGGCATTTCCTGATGAAAACAAGGAATATACCGCGAAGCATCTAATCTCAGTGGTTCCTCTAAGATGGAGCAGTGCTGTGATAGAAAATGCACCCAGGACCCCGCGACGCAATTACCATAGCATCGGCTTGATGTATAGGCTTGACACAGTAAAGTAGGGTACACAAGCACCATGTGGCTCAAATTCTGAATTTTATTTGCCTATCGGTTGAGCTACATGCTCGCTTCATTGAGCATGACAACCTAGTTTTAAGTGTCATTTAATTTTCATTTTGAAATATAATTACAAAGTGTTCACTGTAAGATATCACTCGTCTGCAAATGTGTCAAGATTAATTTGTGCTAGCTTATTCACAAGTGTCAATAGTTAATTACTGTGTCATCTCTAGATGGCTAAATGACATTCTAACTTCTGATTTTTTACAGTGTTCCTTTATGTTATTTTCCATTAGGGGATGAGTCCATATTCCTACATGTGGGCAAATACCCAAGCACATAAAATACCAGACGTCACAACTCATTAAAATCAACAGAGCATATATTGCTGTATATATCCTATAAAATATATTTAACTGAAAAGATAATTCTAGTAATAATGTCAGATTCCTAAAAACCACACATTAATTTGGATCAATCTGATCTAATGCCTAGGGGACTAGTGTGTGGGATCACTGTTGTTGCACTTTCGTTCAATGAGAAAAGGACAGCTCTTTGGACAACTGCATTTTTAAAACAAACAAGCAAAAAACAATAACAAAAAAGACAAAAAGAAAAATACAAACCCTTCACAATCTGAGCAAACAAATCAAACCTTACTTGCAGAAGATATTTGAAGGCTTGAGGATGTTTAAGGCTTTTTGTTTAATTATTGTCTTGTCAAAATGAGAAAGAGTTAAATAACAGTTATAGTCTGGCTTATTTGTAATTCTCAAAATTGCATCAGTGCAAGAAATAAGAACTGTGAAATGTAACAAATTAATCTTTTTTCTAGGAAAGAAATTATTTTAATATCCCCCTCCACCCCCGCTTTTTTTTTTCTCAGGATCCTATATATTTCCTCTTTCTGGAAAAAAAACCAAACCTAACTTCTGAGAATATTTAAGCTCTTTTACCAAAAAAACATGAAAGGAAACACCAAGCAGAACAGTGTTTTTGATAAGCATTCTGCAGGAAGCATTTTCACAGGTTTCTTACTTGGAGCCTCACCTGTTCTTGCTGTTGGCGAGCAAGGTCCATTTGCTGCCGTTGTTTTTCAATTTGTGAGGCTGCCAGCTTTTTCTGTTCATCATGGGCAGCCAGGAGCTGCTCCCGTAAGCTGATCAGCTGGGTGATCATAGTAGAGAGCTGTCGCTCTTTTTCTGCCAGGCTTTCTGGTGTACCTAAATGAGCAAGAAAGATATACTGTAAATACGAGATAGACAATAGTTACAAAGCAATATTTATTAAAAAAAAAACAATAAATGGCTGATTCACCAACATTATTATTTCAAACAGCAGCTTGAATATATATTCTACTAATAAATCTCAAAAGAATCTAACACATAGCTTTGCTGTGCTCTGAGCAGGGGAGGATGCAACAGAAATTGGAGCAGAAAAGATATAGAGCATTTCCTTTTTTTCCTGACAACAGTAATTAATGATACAGTTTGTACAAATCCCTATATCTTTTCCATCTAAACCTGTCTACTGTGATAAATACATTCAGAGTTTATTAGACATAATTTTCCTTCACTTTATATTTTTTTTTGTTTTTACCCCAAGTATGTACAAATTGTAAAAACATAATTTAAAAGATGCTGTTTGGTGGGAGAAGTAGTTTAATAGTTTATTGATCATTTCTCTAAAACACCCATATATCTGGTAGGTCATTTAGGTAAATGTAAGCCTTGGTTGTGGAACGTGTATTAAGAATGAGCTTTACTTGTCCCCAAGAGAAATGGCTAACCTGAGAAAATGGCTTAAAAATTTTCATTTAACTTTCAAAGTTTACTCCACAGAGAGCACTTAATTAATATGAAACTACGGTACATTTATTCTTTGCACTAATGATGCTTAATGGTCTGTTTATGGGTAAATTGCATGGGTCTCATAAGTAGAGAGTACAGGGTCCTTTTGCAAGTCAATCTGAAAATATCACATCTTATGTATAAACTTATTACTCTGTCAGAAACAGCAATGTCAATTCCTGTATTTGAGCCATACACTGCATTTTCTTGTGTGAGCATCTCAGATCCACAGCTGTCTATAAGAGGTAATATAATTACAGTAAGATAGCAGTTCAGGAATATTGGAAGAGGATCTGAAAGAATTTTACAGTTGCAAGTGGGATAAATAAAGGAATTTTATGTTGTGCAGGAGAACTGAGAGTTGGAGAAGAAAACCAAATCAAGAACTACTCAGGTCTGTAATCTGCCACAATTACATGAGAAGTGGCACAAAAGAGAGGATATTTGCAAACTTCCTTTTCTCAATTCACAATGGAGGACTGTGATAAAAAAGTCACAGGACTTTTGAAGAGGAAGAAAATGTGTGAGGAACAAGACCTGGGAGAGAGTGGAGAAACTGTCACCAAAATTATGACTCCACCTTCTTCCCAGAAGGAAGACAGATATCTTTTAGGGCAGAGAAGAAAGAGGTTGACAGGTTTCATAAGGAGAGGAAAGACAAAACAGACTTCTGCCAAGCAGGTGACAAACCCAAGATTCTCTACTACTTACACTGTGCTATGATGGGACCAGTATGATTCTTACAGAGAATTTCACTTGCAAAGGCAGCATACAAGAAAACCTCTGGCTATAATTGCTTTATGAGGAAAAAAAGAAACTACATGGCTTAAGCAGACTCACAGAAACAAAAGGTACCTGGTTTTCTGTACATTTAGTAATTGCATTTAGCAACAAGTCATGAAAATATTCAATTTCTTATCCATTATTAACTATCTTAGTTTTGAGAGTTTCCAACAACCTGATGTTTCAGTACCCTCTAATGCCTAATCTTCATTCAGTATGCATGTAACACAGGTCTCCAAAAGAGGAAAAATGTATAACTCCTGTTGTGGTAGAAATTTTAGAAAGGGTTAGTGATTTCCTTACAAGAAGTATGATGGATGCATGAAGTTGAAGCTGAAGGGTACTCTACTATTCAGACAAACTCATTGCAAAACCTTAGTGTGATGTACACAATTGAAGCAATAAAAGCATTCTGTGCAAAAAGCTCTTTCAAAAAAAAAAAAAACAACAACAAAAGATTTTTGAAAGCAAGCTTGGGCAGGTATGTGGCCACGAAAATGCCTGCACTTAAGGTACTGCCTTGCCAGTATCCATTATCATGTATTGAGCTCCACGCTGCTGACATCTGTTCAATTATCTGCAACTTCAATATAAACTTACCTTAACCCTCCTAAACTCTGTTATTCGGTCTTGAAGATTTTTCACGATGGTCCAAAGGTTATTTAAGTGGGTTTGAATGTGCTATTGTATACTGAAATTCATTTTCATGGCTAAAAAACTGTTCTGCCAAAGAAAAACTCCCTTGCTCATTGTGACTAGAAGAGATCAACCACTCCACCTATTTTAGAAAGCCAATGGGAAGCAACCTGCTGCCTCAAATGATACTTATTGCCCTCCACTGCCACCTGGGAAATGACAGCTTGAGACTTTCACATCTGTCAGGCAGCTTTGGCATTGTAATGCAGGCCCCTGAGCTTACAGTCATAAAATATTTTACACACCCAAAGCAGATATTAATCTCCCACTCCATTTCCATATTATTCTGTACAGCTCGTACTTGCTTCATAACATGAGTAGAAAGCTACCACAAAGAGTGTCTGCTAAGGCTACAACATACAGTTGTTCTGTTATGATTGCTTAGAACCATTTGATATAGTTACCACAAATGTATAGGGTCATTTATTTTTTTCTTTTTTTCTCTGATTTTTTTTTTTTGTTTACAACAGCAGGCAGAAGTAACTGTTCTTATTCAGGAATTCATAGTAATTGTTTTTCTTTCCTTTTTCCCCTCAGAGAAACACATCTGAAATACATGACCCCATTTAAAGTACTCTGCTCTTTAATTTGTACTGTGCTATGTAATCCAACAACAAAATAGAACTGATGACCACAAAATGTACACTGTGCTCCTGGAAAATAACGAGACCTCCATGAAGCTTCAAGACACTTAACCCAGCACTGCTCAAGACAAGAACAAGCATAAGATGAGAATGTTCTTGTATGAACAGTTTGGGGGGAGGTATAATTTAATTTTACAGTGGAAAATCCCAACCATTATTTTACAGTTTAAATACCAATAAAAACCAACTTGCTTGGAATGCAGACCAGATTGAGCTGATCTGGCTGGGCCAAGAGAGGTCATCAGTAGCGGTGTGCCGTCATCATCTGTTTTGCATCCACTTACTTCAGCAAGCAGTGAGATTCCTAAACTCATTACCAGTAAATAAACTTCTGCTAAAATATCTTTTTGACTAAAAATAACTATAAATAAAATAAAAATACAGCTCTCTGTAAAATATATTTGCCATAAAAACAGATAAAACAAAAAGCTTAGTAAAAAATAAACAGTAAATATGCCAGCTTCCATAAAATATTATATACCACAGCTCGCTCTCTGTTCTAATCCTATTCTCTTACTCCAAAGACAGCAGTACATTTTTTCCATGGGGTCTTCCTTATCCCCAAAACACATCTGTCTTGAGTTTCTCTCAGATTTGTCAGGTGGATCAGTGCTCCCCAGGGCCTGCTCCATCTGAAGTATTTTAATTTGACTAAACACCTGATTTATTTTATCTCTCCGATGAGAAAGGCAGTTTGTCTTAATAGAGCCTGTCAGCCTACAGTCCCATTCACAGCAATTTACAGGCAGCCAGGGATGCTGGAAAAGAAGAGTGCTGTGATTCTGTATTTTATCCTCCTCCAGAAAGCACCTAAAAGCAGCTATTCACTGCTACTGCATGTGGCATTTTAGAACTGAATTAGCTTTTTATTCAAGTAACTACACTTGTTGTGAATAGCTTATCTGTAAAATTGCTACATTCACTACTGATTTTATTAACCTTTGGCTCTATCACAAAATGGTCTTCAGTTAGGAAAGACCTTTAAAATTGACACATTTTTCTTAGGGGCCTTTATTTCAGTGACTTCAGATCTACTGAATTTGATCCATTGACTCCCCTTACCAGCAGTATTTAAAAATTTGAGTGTTGGTGTGAAGCTGATAGTGTTTAAGGGCTTCATTTTAAAATGAAAATGTGACAGTCTCATCAAAAGTTCAGAAAAAATTGTTATCATTTTTGATAGTTTTTTGCAATAATAATCATTAGCTGAAAAATAACTTGGTTGTAGTAATATTTTTTTCCTTGTGTGCTTATTGTTTTATCTTTTATTTTGGATTTCAGCACAAATTGAGATAAAATGGTCAGATTGAAGAGAACTATGGCATCAAAGAGAACTTTTGAGAAATTCTGGTCATAGGTCAATCTAACCAGGAGTGAGAAAATAAAAAGTAGCTATAAATCTGCTGAAAAAGAGAGAAGAGTTCAACTTGTGGTCTAAAATTACATTTAGAAAGAATTCTGCTTCTGGCAAAACCCTACCTTTTAAAACTAATTAGAATACTACATGATTTCTGGTACATAAAGTAATAAAAAGAGCATTATATATCTTAAAATGCAGGATGATTTGTAAGAAAAAAAGGTTAAAAATCTAGTAATCTCTAGATATAGATATATAACTATAGTTTCTCTATCAGTCACTGGTTTACCACCTTACAACACTCCTATTACCTCTTACTACATATTCAGTCTATACACAAATGTAGCTGCCTGTCAGCAAATGCTGGAGGCTTTTCAATGTTAAATTTTGTACTGTCCTTGTGGCAAGCTGTCACGAGAGAGAGGCAGAGTAACAGAGTAATAACTGCTGGTAAGAAAAAAAAGAAGCAGAAATAACAAAAAATAGACTTCTAGGTTTACATAGTATAATTTAGACTGATCTCTTTGACACTCAGGAAAAGAAAACTAGATAAAACCACATATTCTATCAAATGAATAAAGGACAAAATACTGCAGTCATAAATAAGCCAAAAATTTTATAAGCATGAACCATAGCTTGCCGAAGTAGGATTCTTAGCTGTGACATGAAATTACTGTGGGTTCTTGAATGTGCTTGCCTTAGTTTCCCAACATGTACACAATCTAAAACACTACCAATCAGAGGTTTTTATGCCTGGTTAGTTAATGTTTCTGAAGTGCTTTGCGATCCTTGCATGGAATCTCTACACAGCTGCAAAGTATTATTGGTTCTCTTGAATTCTGTGATTAGTGTAAAGCATGACAAATATCATCCTTGTTTATGCACTGCATCTA